TGTAACCTTTAACCTCCTTCAGTAGGTTGTTATGAGTTAATAAATTGTTTGTACTACACTGTGCATACAAATATTGTGTTTTGACTGATCATAATGGAATTGAGAATGAACCTGATTTGTAATGAAATGAACACGTAAAACAAACTTCTGTGTAAATGCATTGTCTCGTTCTAAGAAAGAAAGAAATGCACGCAATTGAATGAGCACGTACAATATTGGGAACTAGGTGAATAAATTGCCTTGAAAATAACTGTTATGCTAATAACAAAATAAACTATGGCATGAGTGAAATAAACATAATCAAATACAGTCATTATTAGAAACACTAACACTTCCAATAGCGTAATTAATTAACTAGACGCAACCAAGAACAAATTAAACAAGTCATCAACAATTCGGTCGGTATTCGCAGACGAAAACGCTTTATTTGTGTTCGCTCAAGTTCTCTTTGCACAACTTTATCTTTGAATGCTATATTTTAATGGCAAGCATTGTTCACATTTACGCATTTTGTAATCAAACGAACATAATTCCCCATGTTTGTAATCGTTCGTGGACTAGCGGATTGAACGTCTTTTAAGCCCTTCGGAACCCGAGTACATTGTATATATTATAATTTTAATAGTTCAGTCTACATCGCCTGAGTGATTTATATATTCAATTAGTTATTTCACATAACAAATAATTAACGATTTCTGCCTACCACTTATCAATTATTCAGCAAAACTAACAAGGTACTATAGATATGTTTACTTCCAAAACCCCAGTGGGCAACTACCTAATTTCATTCAAAGGTGCAACACAGAACACAGTTGTCACCAAGTTGCATTGATGTTGTCATGACGATGCTATGGGGCGACGCCCTCACTGGCGGAGTCCACATGCCGTCATGACAACACATGCAATGTATTTAGACTATTGGTTGAATGATTAAAACTGTCGTTTTATAAAAATGGGGAGTTCTAGCGTATTAAGTTAGAAGAGGACCGGGGGCGTATGGTGACGATTGTAGTTGTAATAAATATCCGGCTATACTATATTACTGGTGTCCTTATGATTGAATGGTGCGTATAAGTGTCGAGCGATCCTAGTGTACCACTCACTGCCTTGCGAGTTACCCATTCCCCGTTACAACCACTTCCCGTATATTCAACTTGACGAACCTACCACCCATAACAACCCCTGATAGACGAAACCCGCATTGTTTTTACAGTTGTATATTTCATGATTTACGATGTACGACTTGGAAGAAGCCTGTGTGTATACTGAATGTTTCTGGTTACACTTTTTAAAAACCTATAGGGCTTTGAGGCGATTTGTTTGCTACAATACTTATCGACACAGAGGGCGATGTGCAGTGGCGAAAAAAGTGCATGTGACCAAAACAAAATTTGCATAGGCCTAATGACATGAACTTTGAAAGTGACAAACACTGGCATTTTCGAAGGGGTATTGTTGTCCTGCAAAAGACTACAAATGTCGAATAATATACCTCGGTATTATACCGCATTTCAAACTGAAACAAACTGAAATTTCTGAATTTCATGACTACTGTTTGCAATTTGTTCATTAATAATGAATTTGTACCCTGCCAAGACGACCTTATTGAGTCGTGCATTCAATTTATTCAACACATCGATGTCTCATGACAATTATTTTACTGGAATATGGCTTCTTGTGAGTAGCGCATTTGAAAAAAAAAGAACCGTGACGACTTCACCTCGAAATGAAACAGTATTCATTTCTATAAACACAAAAATAGATTCACAAAGAAACATTGCAGATAACTTTGAATATGGTTAAATAACAAAATAAGATCGTTGCGCATGTGTTCGCATTAACCTACACACCCAGGCAAATGCATACTACGTTATATTACGCACAAAAATGGCGGTGTTGCTGCTAAGAAAGCACTTTATTGCGGTCACAATTTACCGTGATACATCCTATTTTGAGTGGTAATATTCCTACCAGCTCGTGCAATTAAGGAATGATTAACAATCGATATACTTTACGGTTTCGTGGGTGTTTATGTAACTTAAAGATTCTTCGTGCTCAATTTTATCTGCGGCCTTTACATGATTTCACCTTCATTGTTCAGTAAAACACGATACTTAAGAAGCGCGCGAATAGCGTTTTGTTGATCAGTGCGAATAGACACCCGGACATGTTTACCCTTTTGACTTTACAGTAGACATGGTGTGAACCAGCCAGTAGTAGTCTCTTATTTAGTTTTATGCCGCATTCAAGATGGCGGCCCCATATAGTAAATATCGCATTCATTTTATTATCACGTGTGCGCCAGCTGACTGTGGAACCAGCCACCATACAAATTGAGGTTGAGCAATTTCCTAAAAATGGCGCTAATTGATAACCATTCTGCCCAAACTCAAATCCTATTTTTTTTAGAAACAATGGCGTCTTGGTCCCTGTGTGGGATGGAAGTAAATACAATTAACTAACTTCCCATTATGCTGTAATCTATTTAATTTTCGCTCCTAGGATTTTCCACGATTTGAGGATTTTATGACAAATGTCGTAGGTTTCGTATTAATTTAGAAATTAATTTCAGTCTCTTAATATGAGGGGGTATATTGACGATTACAGATGTATACCACGGTGAACTGGCTATAACGTTTTAATAATTTCTTTTTGGTTTATTTCTACGCTCTCAAATCGCACACGGAGATGGAAGGTGACATCGCCCTCTACGTTGAGTCTGTGAGTACATTTTTTGCAAAGGCTCACGGAAAGTGAATGGTGCTTGAATGTTGATAAATATAATTTCACCAAATCTTTAAGAATGTGATGATTATAAAAGCGATTAATTGAATCGTTATAAAGTCCAAAGAATGTTATCAATACCTAACTGAAACCATTTTTTGTGAAAATATTGGGTAATGTCACATGTCGACACATGTCCCATTTTAGAACCTTTTCAGCCAGACTTCCTTGCCCAAATTTTTCTTATAATTTTTATAATTTCTTCAGTGTTTCTGGAAATGAATGCTAATTTTGGAGCCAACAGACATAATTTGCTACAATTTTCAGTTTTTACTAAAAAAAATTTACTATTTTTGTCCCAATCTTCTGAAAGAAAGGGCAGACTATAAACTGGACTATTTTGTGAATTTGTGATGAAAAGAGGAAACTGGTGAAAAAGATGAAAA